AACCAAGAAAATAGGTTAATAAAGAAGTTTTATGTTGGCACCCTGTCAAGTTAACCGACCGATTAGATTAACTCGCGTTGGTGAAACCGGGCCTGAGGCTTGTAAATTAATAACGGTGCGGTCTAAAACATCCGGTCTCAGTTTAATCTCCGGATAAAGAAGCAATCATCGGGAACGGTCGTGAGGCTAGGCAAGGGTGGTATACGTAAGTACGCGCGAAAAGAACGAGGTTGTTAGGACGACGAGAGACAGAAATAGAGAGAGAGAGAGAGAGAGAGAGAGAGAGGTCGAAAGAGAGGCTGAAAGGTTGATGGAAAAAAAAGAGGGGAGGAGACGGTATACCAAACTCTGTGCTGCGTTAAGAGAGTAAGAAGAGACGAAGATTCAATATAGGGGTTAATATTACAAAAGGTATTTATTACGAAGTGCGAATTACCAACGACCGTTTAAATCCCGGGTGACATCGAAGGAAGCGTGGTCGTTTGCTCGCGATTGTTAATCTTTCAGGCTCACCTGGTACGCTTGTGCCGGGTGTAGATGCCGGAAATGGACGGTACGGAGAACCGACCCGGCAGGGTCTGCGCCCCGCCGAGATTCTCCAGGCTCTGACTCAACTCCTTACTCATGCACAACACACCAAACTCCACCGTATGCTGACCACTAGAGTATGCAATACAGTGTACCACCAATGCTCCTTGTATCAGACATTATTTACTGCTCAGAGACTACTACTCTAATATCCAGAGAGAAAGAGAGAGAGAGAGAGAGAAAGAGTGGAAGATGTACATGTAGAGATGCAGTACGATAGGAGACAACATGCGAGAGATGTAGTGTGTTGCGGAAAATAAAGCGAAGTATGTATATGCGTGGAAGAAGGGACGGAGGGTAAGAGAATGGATCCCGCTCCCGAATGCAAAGCGCGAATTTGGTACGAATTGGTGCCAGTCTGCACGACAGAAGAATTGCCATTGCTGAATGTGCGCAACAACGGATGGAGAGTATCGTGTGAGTACGTGTAACATTTTGGTGTGTTCGAGACGATCACGAAATTATAATTCTACAGCTGTGCCAGTGTAAGGTCAACGCTTGAAATTGAAACTTTACGATTTTGCGAAATATTTAACGGATTTAACAGATAACTATTGACAAACCACGGGACGAGTGAAATGAAACGCTTCTAGAAACGGGGGACGCTAACAGACATGACCCAACACCAATTAATACCAAGTTGATTATTGATCTTATTCCGTGACTCACTTTTCGTATAGACACTTAAAGCTTTAATGTATTATTCTGCTAAACGTGTGAGCTGTTGGTTATTCAAAGTTTCATCGAAATATATCAGACTAAAACGTAATCAATATAAATCGTGTGCATACGCTCTCTCGAATGCAGATGCTTGAACGAGGTACTTTTGCCGCTCGCGTTTACTCGAACTCTGTCGATTGCATCTACGGCGAGCGTAGCGATGCACGCGATTATACTTTATATTAGACGATACATAATTGAAGCGTGAATGTTGCATTAAGAATTAAAACTGTCGGGAGAATTAAATAATATATAATAAGATGATATAACATGATATCGAAACTCCCGCTGTGTAAATTTCTTACGTGAACAACTTACCTAAGACTCAGATCCGGACTGGCGCATCGAACGACTGGATTCGGCACTGGTGGCACGACTCTGTATCCAAAGGTCAGATAATTTTTCCAGATGTGCATATAAACATCTCTCTCGTTTACTGGCTTTCTCACTGTCGTCGAACTTCGCAATAACGAAGCGCGATTGTCGTTCACCGGCCTGCATAAATACAAAGTTAGAATCCTCTTTATACGTTAAAGCTTATAATACACAAATTGATTAGAGAGAGTCAAACTCACGTGGGATCCACCACTGAGAACAGGGAGTTTACACGAGTGAACACAATGGGCCAAGAATGAGCGACGGCGTTCGGGCACAGCGTAAGCACTCTGTCCTTTTCCAGGAAGGCGAACAGACAACTGGCCCACGGATCGGCCCCATTCAGATTGAGCGAGGACGAACTCTTGGTGCTGTTCTCGTCGTGGAACCCTGCAACGTAAACCAAACGTAAATGAATGTAACGTGCGATTAGCGTTATCAGAAGTGTGACAAATGAAACGTCACCAGCTGTCCAAACACAACTACTTCTGTCGGCTATCCACTGCAAATCCACGTTAGACGTCGACGCGGCGGCTGCTTTCTCAGCTGGCGGTAACATAGGGTAACATTTTTCCAAGACGGCGGGACAGCAAGCGTCAATCACGTCGATAACTGGTTGATCATCCTCGAGTCCTCCTAAACAAAAATTATGTACATAACGTATATTATGTATAATACATTGTCATGGGCACTGCATTGTGTAATGTAATCACCTAAAGTCTTCAGCAAAAGCTTGACCTCCCGAAGTATGTGAACAGCCAATCGTCGGGGATAAAGGCGACAATTGCAGAGCATGACCAAGGCGAATCCTTCCACCAGATAGAATATGTTCGACACAGGTTCTACTTTCTGTAAACAGGAAATGAATTGCACGTTGTATCTTGCGCGTAAATTCTGATATAACGAAAATTAAACGCAAACCTGGCCGGTTTCGCATTTCTTGATGCCAACGTCCACTCGTATATTCACCCGTGCAGGATCCACCGATTGTTCCTTGGATCTTATACTGGGACTCGTCAGGGCGTTCTTCCAACTGGTCAGTAATTGCAGCAGCATTCTCAGACCGTTGTCAATAAGTTGCGGAAAGGTGTCCTGCACATCCCTGGCTAGAAACTGTGTGAAGCCAAGCACGACATCCTGTCGCCAATCGGGAAAATCCAATACCAGAGTCTGCAAGCTTTGATACGCCAATGCGCGCAGTTCCTCGTCCATGTGTACTGTCAGACGAGCCAGCAAGTCGACCAATTCCGCGCCGGTCATGCCATCGGGGATCAGTCGCGGGACAGCGGCGACGCACGTGCGGAAGAGGTCTATTCGAGGCTTGCGTTCTCCGGTGATCATCTCATCCGGCTCCTTGTTCATATTCTGAGTGCTGGTCATCATGAGAGGTCTACCGTAGTGAACGTCTAACGCGCGCAGGATGTCCACGAACACTCGGCGCACGTGCGGAAAGTACGAAGACATTCCTATGCTCCGCGCGGTGTCCTCCGTCAGCATCTGAATCGTAGAAACACTTTGGTGAAAATGCCATTTGGCGTATGCATTCGAGAATTACATGTGCAACACGTACTTTATTCAAATACGTCTTTTTAACGCGCATGGTATTCCCGCTCGGCAAGACACCCATGGTGCGCGGCATAGGTGGTTCCCCCTCTTTCTGCTGCAAGCTGTCGGCTACGACGAGGAACGCCCGCAGGCCGATACTCATGCGTTCGGGAGTCAAAATTATCTTCACCGGTCGACCGACCGACAGCAGGTCGAACACTATCTCACGCATCGCAAAGTCCAGTCTCTCTTGCGCGATAAATTGGATAATCTTTACGAAAATGTTGAGCGGCGTGTCGCGCGGCACTACCGCCTTCGATCCCTTTGGAAACAAAGAGTTCACTATGCTCTGCAGTCTGCTCTGCGTGGCGGAATTGCTCTCGCACTTGATCCGTATCATGTAAACCCAGAGTAAACGGTATAAAGCCTCTGTAACAGATGCGAAGAATACATTGCTTTGTGTTTTCCGCTCCTCCTTACTTTACTTAAAGAATATTGCGTGTATAAAATTTGTACTTTAATCGTACCTAATGCAACTCGACACATCTTTGGATCGCGATTTTTCAAATGAGAGAGACACATAGCCAAAAAGTAATGCCAGTTTTGTAAAAAGAACGTTTTCTGGCTAACGCAAAGCAAGCAGGTTACTAAGGGAAAGAGCGCCAGTCTATGTTTGGACTTTGTGCACATGTCTAATGTTGTTGAATACAACATTTCCACAAAATTTTTCAAACACGGCACGTTTACTTCGTTCTTCACAGCCTAGAATGGAAAATACAGTATTATTACAAGTGCAATATTAGTTGGCGATACATGAATTACAACTTGCAATCTGGAACACGTACAGCAGCAACGGGCACGAGTATTTCAACAAAAAGACCAGCTAAAGCATGCTTAACGTCTTTGTCCTTCACTTCTAAGAAATATTGAGCGCACTCCTGCATAAATTGAAATGATGCCTCAAATTCTTCAATCGGTACCATCTGTAAATTTACATAATAGGCATTATTTTAAAAAAAAACACCACTAGAAAAACCTAATGCAAAATTGGAAATAATATATTAAATATTACATTACGGTGGTACGTGATAATTACTTTGACTCGGAAAAATTTCATTCCCATTAATAAGGAAATAATGCTCTGTGTAGTATGGGGTCCTGGCTCTTTAGCTCGCAATTCTTTCAGTTCTACCATAAAGCGTTTTCTCACTGACATAAATCTGGATTGCGCCAGAACTCCTATCACCTCAGCGTAGAGATCAGCAATAATGTGAATATTAGCTGCGTTCGGTTCGTTTTGTATACTAAACACACATATATACAAGTGTTGTTTAGATTGTACTTTTATTTATACCTTTCTTTCTTTATTCTTATCGCAAAGAACGTATCAATTCTTACCCTTCTCTGTACTTAAAATGCTTAAAAGCGATATTTTCTATATATGTTACTAGATCCTCGTGTCCAGGATGAAACGGTAATTGACGCAAAACTTCGATCAGCATTAAACAAAATATAAATTCGACAGCAAGATCTCTACGCTCTTGCAAGAGATCTGCTTCACTTCTCTCCACCGTTTCCACACTTCCCGATACTATTGTATACATAATACTGAAACAATATGCTTGTTATTAACGTTTTCACGAGATATACTAGGTTATTATCTTATTACCTCTTCCCTTTTTGGTCTTCCTTTCCGGGGGTAGGTTTCTTTTGATCACCACCTTGGTCAATAAGCTGACGTTCGTACCAATTAAAAAGGGCTTTCAATATCGAAGGTAAACAATGTTCGGCGACGGAACCGAAAGCCGATAACAGTTGATCGAATTGCGGATCCTCTCCTCTTTGCAGCACTTTCGATAGTTGTTTCTCCTAAAAAAAAAAACGACGCAATTCGAACGACGTTGTTGCAACGACAATCGCCACAAATTCAGTCGCTTACATGTTCCGTCATAACAGCCTCCATCTTTTTCTCCGCCTGCGAAGTGAATTCCGCAAAGAGAATACGCATCACGTATTCTCCCGGTCTCAGATCCATATCTCCTATTTGCTGCGGCTTCACCGTCTCTTTCTGAGCACCCCAGGGCAAGACCACAGTTATCGCACTGACTCTGCTAGAGCTCGACTCTAAGAAAGTAATACAAACGTACACATACACGTACATGTTGAATTAATTTGGCATTATCACTAGAATTTGTCGACTCACCGTTACCGGACACCGAAGTACTGGCAGTATAAATACTGACAGCATCGCTGCTCTCTCCCTGCGTCGCACCATGAACCATAAGAAGCTCCTGCATAGGTTCAAGAGCAGCTTGCGACGTTGACTCCGCTCCCTCGTGTAACCCATCGTTGTGATTTGTTCTTGGTTCCAAGGCCTCTGTAAAAATGCAGTATAAGCTTGTAATTTCTGTCCATTGGACATGCATTTCGACTGACAAAGTGTAAAACATTTTCATGTACATTTTAAGCTGCTTTGATATATTGTGAAGAACACAAACTGTTCTTAATTTCTCCTATCAAGTGTAAATCTTATTAAGCTGTTGAATATCTTATTTGATTACACGTCAACATTCATTAAGTAACAAAATCTGTTTTCGACCGAATAACGCAACAGTGAACACATAATGGAAGAAACTACAAAATGAAGACCTAGTCTGTCGTATGACAGATGCTTATAAGATACTAACTCAATTATACCTTAGCATTTAACTTTATATAGAAGCATATACGTACAGATCATGATTGAGACAACCACTCACCTGCTTGGGGCTCGTTCCCAGCGTTCGGCTGAGTCTCCGCACCTGCGAAACAGAAATGCAAGCTCGTTAGTTTCGAAATTTACCAGTTGCACAGAGCTCGAATAGCCAACCTTCAGTCATGTTGCTGACTCTTGTCTCCTCCTTCGGCAACATCTATACTCCAAACATCATTACGGCGCCATTTACGCCTACAACAATTAAACCACCTATCAGTATCCGTCACAAGAAAACCTGGTGTCACCAAGCAGAGAATGCCAATGTCACGAAACGTCACGCGGAAATCGATCCTCTGTTCCGTAAGAACGGAACAAAGAGGGAACCGGAACTCGCCGCTACGCTCATCATCGAGCTGCCAATATTTTCCACGTTAACGGAACATGCCTTATCTAACGGATAAACAAGCGCGCGCGCGCGCGCGCGCACGTATATGTGTGCCGGGGTTTAGTTAATCAAATAAACCCGAACGGCGCAGCCCCCTAATTGGAGCGGCGGTTTGTAGACCGTGTAACGTGACGTTTAAATGCCAAGCGGCGGACCGGGGCGGTGGATCGCGCCGCGCGAAGCGTATCCGGGGTAATTACGCAGGTCGGCGCCGTCCGAGTGATGCGCAGCGACGAGGACACGGTCACCCGGGGCGGTCAACGGCACTCGTCGACGATGCTCACCGTCGGTCGAACGTCTCTCGCCGACCGCGACGAGGACGGGAAATTCGCCGTGAAGGACGCGGTTCAGCGCATCGCTCGGATATTATCCCGGCTCGATGCTCGATCCCGGCGCGTATCAACCTGACTCCGCTCCTCCCGTCCTCCCGCGCTGAGTTTATTCAGTTATCACTGTCTCCCTCTCGCTCTCTGTCTCTCTGTCTCTCGCTTTCTGTCTTCCGCGCTCTCTTTTCTTATTTCCTCGTTCGCTGACCGTCTGTTACAGTCTATTGGCGCGCAACCGCTAGATGGCGACGGATTCGCTTCGCGCGTTCGAACGCTCTTGTACCGACGGAGTTTCTCGCGCCTTGATGATTCGAATCGAGTTTCCTCTGCGATGCGAGTCTCGGGCCGGTATTCATGTAGCGAATTCGACTGCTTGCGCTAGTGCGCACATGGGGTTTGTTTTCTGTTCCTGCACTGGTGAACTAGTGCAGTAAGCTAGAATGAGAAAAAATATGCTTGTCTTACTCCAATTTATTGCACTAGTTCACTAGTGTAGGAACAGAAAACAAGCCTATTAATGTAGGGTCTGCAATGAGAGTCGCAGAGTCGCATTGTAGACTCCGCATAATTGGTCAATTCTTATGTGTCTGACGGAATTGACCAATCGCAGTCGATTATTCTTACGATATACGACTCTGCGACTCGCATTGTAAACCCCGCATTACCCCTGATCCACAATCTTGCTTTAAGTAAGCTGTAAGCCTTAAGCCATAAGAAATTAACCAATCACAGGCATTTATTCCCCTCATTGTGGGCCAGGGATTAAAGATCTCATTGTTGACGCCGCATCTCAATGAGAAATGATAATATCGAAACGACGTCGATTCGACATCAATTTGACATCGATCGACGAGTCATTTCTCGCTGGGATTAGTTGACCCGGGAAACCGGATGTGACCGCACAGCTTGATTAGACAATCGACGGTGGCGTGGGGTTGCTTTTAATTTGAAATACGAGGGACGTATTGTTTTCCGCCGCGAGAAAATTCTCGGCGTTGGAACGCACTTCCCGGTAAGAAATAATTCGACGATCGACGAGCCATTTCTCGCTGGGTTACCACGAGTGTTGTATCGCCCGAAAGTCACTCCGCTACATTAATCGGTCAACGACGGTCGATTATTCCCCTCACGTTTAACCGTGATTGGTCGATTCCTCACGGCTTGCTGCGCCTGTTGTAGACCCAGCTTTATTACGCAGAGCTCTCACGCGTGTATACATGTGAGATGTATAGCATTTATTTTACTGTTGCTCGCAAAACTTAAATTATTACAAAAATGATACAAATAATTATATATAATAATAATTACAGTTGTTATAAATAACGTAAATGACGCTGCCGAGAACACGTCTCGAGGACAATAAATCCGGTAAAGAGTCCGCCGCTAAAAGCGGCACCAAACGCTGGCACGTCACGCTTATTTCTGCGCGGATTTATTTTTATATTGAATGCACACACGGCTAAGCCCGAATAGCGCGGTTTCCTGCAAAGTCTCGGACGTGGCCTCTCCCCCCCTCCTCTTTCTCTCTGTTAGCCGCATCTTTCTGCACGTACATACATACATACATACACGAAATGAGTACTATGTGTATGCCAGGCTACGTGCCGCACAACTTCCGCGCGCAGAGGCTCGTCCTAAAGTCCTCCGTAAACGACGTGCGGAATGATCCAACATTACATAAAGGGCCGTTGCATTTGTGTATTTCTATTTAGATATCGCGTGCACATATACGTTCCAATTATCAGGGACAGCCAACAAGTCGATCGCAACCGTCCATTCGACGCGAATCGATCTCGCGGATCCGCATTTTGATACTCGCGCACGATATAAGAACGGTCGTCTTGTCAAAATGTAAACTTTTCAAATAACGCAGATGACCGTCGTGACCTTAGGAAGAATTTTATACTTTTAAAATACTTTAGCCCGTACTCCGAATCCTCCTTTATCGATGAAAGTGCCCATAAAGCCCGTATCAGACTACGGATTGGAATTGGGATTAGATTGAAATTTAACCAATCACAGTAAAGTTTACTAATCTCAAGTTCAGTAACTTTTACTCTGATTGCTCAAATTTCAATCTAATCCCAGTCTCAATCCGTAGTCTGATACGGGCTTAAAAGATCCTTTCAGCCAATAAGAATTCTTCGAAACCAATGTTAGTGGTTTACTCTTAACGATGAAAGAGGATTCAGAATATGGACCTTTACGAATCAGCAAATCTATTGAAAACAAACCTTTAAAAGAATTCTTTTCCGGTGCGACATCTTCTAGAGCAATCTAGAGCACAAAAAGAATTCCTTTTGCATTCGGAAAAGAGTTCGGAACCTTAAGAATACTTTTACAACGGAAGTGGGACGGGAAGAGAATTCATTTTCACAATTCGGGAATCCGAGAAGAATTCTTTTTGCTACCTTAATTAATCGAGATCTAGCGCATTCGTTCGTTCGATTCGCTAAGTGAGTTAATTCCAACTCGATTCGCAAGCCCCGCGGCTTACGTAATGAAGATACGAAGCCGTTCCGTGCGACGCGCGACAGCAATAAATCACGGAATATCGCAACGAACGTTCGTCTCAAAGGAGGCAGCGGTCGTTCCCGATTACGCCCGTATCGCAATGACGCCGTTGGATTTTTCTCGTCTCCTCTCCTCTCGTTGCGTCACGCCTCGTCCAAAGTGTCGGGGCGGCTTTGCGATCGCGTGCTCGCGCTCTCCTCTCGTCGTCGCGCGAGACAGCGATTTCGGAAGCTCGATTAACAGGATTCTGTGTAACTTGCTGTCGGCGTACGGAGAGAAGTTTCTCTTAAAATTCACCCTCAAGATCATGTAATCGTGGAACAACGCGGTATTTTGAGGAACTTTATAAGAGTTTTTTGAAATTTCACCATACATTTTACTAGTACAATTTCAAAAAACTCGTAGAAAATTCTTCGAAATGCCGCCTTGTCCCACGATTGCGATGATTTTCGGGGCTAAATTTTAAGAGAAAATCCTCTCCGTGTGGTCCTCGATATCGCTGATTCCACATCAATTGGACGGTGTTGATGTCGAGTTGACATCGTTTCGACATCGACCGACGAATCATTTCTCACTCTAAAGGCCTGTGTCCACGATGCTGGAACTTGGTCTAAGTGGACACAGGCCTTTAGAGCTGCGCTTTTCTCGGGGATCGCTACCCAGTGAGAAATGATTCGTCGGTCGATGTCGAAACGATGTCAACTCGACATCAACACCGTCCAATTGATGTGGAATCTGCGATATCGAGGACCACACGGAGAGAGTTTTCTCTTGGTCCAAGTTCCAGCATCGCGGACGCAGGCCTTCACAAGGTTGTCGCTGGTGACGATCCCGAGGATCACCGATAGCGAGTTACAGAATCCCCGCATGGGTGCCGAGAGCTCCACCATCGGGAGCTCGGCCGCTCAAAAATCCGCTCGAAGCGGCGATCACGCAGTCGCGGCCCCCGGTGGCGGTTTAACGTCAAGGTCGCCACTTAATCCAATATGCGACATTCGAGCCCCCGAGCTGGAGAGATAACGTCCAGCGTCACGTTATCGCCCGCATTTCTGCGAGCGGTGCGCGCGGTACATCGCGGCACCAATCGCGGATGATTCGTCAAAACCGTATCTTCGTCACGCGACTTCCTCGTCGACTTTATCTAATCGGAGATCTGTGTCGCGCGCTATCGCAACGGGAAGCGTTCCTCGAGACGTTCCTGATGGGAATTCCCGAATGCACCGCGCGGACAACTTTCCTCCTTCGCCCCAAAGATATCGATATTTCGCGGACGGACGTTAGGTTCTCCGCGTCTCGAATATTTTCGATGGAACAAGTTAGGTAGTCCGGGCTCCGTCTCGGTCTCGGTCTCGAGGAGACACGTGAAAACAAACGCGCGTCATTCTGCACGTCGGGTTCTTACGTAAAAGCAGAAGGCTCCTTAGACTCCTAATGGAGCGAATTAGTTGGGGCTATTAAACGGTAATTTAAAACGCGTGTGCGAGACAAGGAGTGTTCCGGGCGCGTAATTGTCCTCTCCAATCGTAATTCGTATTGTACTCTTCAACGTTTTACGCGTGTTTTCGGTCTCGCGCGAGTCTGCCGATTTCAATTGAAACACCGCCATCGTGACTGCAAAGTTATTTGAGAACAGAAGTTCGTAGCGGAGGACAAACGTAGCGCTGTAAGAGGCAAAGTACAATTTCTGATAGCCAAAAATCCATAGAATAGAAATAGGTAATATGACGTGGACCAATTTTAGACAGTTGGTACTTGCGCGGGGTCATGCGTGAAATACAAATAAAATGTAATGCGAGGTAACGGCTTGCGGGAAAAACAAGAGAAGACGAGAGTTCGTCGCGAGCCGTTGCAGAGAGAAGGAAAAAACAGTGACTTAGTGTGAAGTGTGAGCGAGGGCGAAGGACTGCCTGTGAAATTAATATAAGTATTTGGCGAGGGACTGCCAGTGATTTTAGGAAATATATAGTAGCTTGCAATTATTATTTAAGTATTGCGCTTACCATGACCAACTAGAATTGTGATCAACGGACAATTCGTCTTTATATTAGCCTGTTATATTATCAGTGTTTCTGACCAAGTTCACACTGAACTGTGCCGTATCAATATTAAAGACCTTTGAATTCCTGACAAATTAAAGTGATTACTTTATTTAATTTTACGCCCTATTTCGCTCTAAATTTATCACGAGATACGGTAGTGTCTTGCGTCAAGTATAAGTCTTTTTAAACGGTTTTTTATTAAAAAAGGTTATTTTTTTAAGGTGTATACAGCGCACGTCGTGTCCGCTACGATTGTGCCCTTATAGTAGCACAATGCACTGTGCTACTAGGGTTCTTTCATTTCGACCCTCGTCGCCGAAACGTGGTGCTCATTCCCCGATATGGATATGAGTACTTAGCTGTCCGACGCTAAACCGAAGGTACATCGGACATGCGTCAAGCCACGATCGAAAGAAACGGAAATAGCTCTCTAACGAGTGCCAGACAATAGGCAGATAAGCAAGCGGGAACGGTTCCAGACGAACGACAGTTCGTGTGTTTTATACACGTTTCCTAAACGTACATATCTGAAGTTTGATAGGCTACAAAGCCAATACGTTTCACTTGGGACGTCGCTTCTTCCTCAGCTTCGTTCGGACCGACTTTTGTATCTCCAGCCTCGTCCGTAAATTAAATCGCCTGCCGTCCATCGAGAAACTCAACGTCACGTCCCAAGTAGAGCAAGGGGGTCATGATGACGTCGAAGTGACGTCAATCTAA